CCAATATCAATTACAACTCTTTTTTTTCTGCAGAGAGCAAAGGGAGATGAACCGGCAGGGGAATGAAATACAGAGAGCTTTTAGGCTGGCAGAGCTTCTACCAGTCTGTCAGATGGACTTTCTATATGGGAGGACAGGATGGGACACCGCACAGAATGAAAATAAGACCAAGCAGACAGGCCACAACAGAGATATTGAGCGTTAATGGCAACAGGAAGTCAGCAGACAGGCCAGGGAAGTAAACCACAGTCACGGCTGACAATGAAATGAGATTTACTATGAAGGCCTGTGGTTAGAGTAAAATAGACAGCCCAGCTAAGTCTGACTAAAGGAGAGAAAGTGGCGAGGGATTCTTCCGTAGAAGGCTGGAGAATAGTGACGTGCCCCAATCCCAATGGGGTCTCTTGATTGTCAAACCCAGAGCTGCACCAGGACATTTGTACCTCAAGAATGGAGTCACATTTATCACTACCAAGACATCAGCAATTATCTGTCACGGGAACTTGTGCAGAGGTCTCGATTACGTGCCTGTGCAGGCATTAGGGCCCATTACTCCATTCGCAGACTCCAGTAGGTCCTCGCTGTGTCCCTAAGAGACGACTTGTCTCTGGGGGTATGGGAGTGTCAGGAGGAGAATAAAACCACAGCTCAGAAAATGACTAGGGGGGCCATGGCGTCACACAAACACACACACACACGTCAACCCCCACTTCCTGTGCCAACCCCCCCCCCCGTAAAGTTGACCCTTACTATCCCCCTTCCCAAACATGCAGCGCTTTGTCAACAAGTTCTGGTCAGCTCCAAACAAAGAAGGCAGAAATGCGAGGGGTTTTTGCGACATGGCCCGGGTCTGCTAATCCTCTCACACTGGCTCTTTCTTTCCCTCTTTCTCCTTCCTTCTTATGTCCTTAAAAAAAAAAAAAAAAAAAAAAAAAAAAAGAAAGAATCGCAGTTTCTTTCTTGCGCGCTAGCTTGCTTTCCCCTCGTCTCTTTCTTCCCTTCCCTCTCGTTCTTTCATGCCTTTGTGCGTGCACCTACATGGGCACGATGAGGGTCCCCGTGCTGGCGGCCCGGGTCCCTGAAAAGGCTTAAGAAGAGACGGAGAGAGAGAGAGAGAGAGAGGGGAGCGAGGTGCTGCTGAGAAAAGAGAGGGAGGAGTAAGAGACGGAGATATTAAAAAGGGATCCCGTGAATGCGACCAGGCCAAGATGAGTCTCTCTCCACTGTTTTCTGGCTGAAAGACGGAGCCGATCAATCAGCGTGCCAATTCTACAGTGGCAACAAAGCAGTCGGTGTTGATCACTGTAACTACTCGCTTCCTTTGAAAAATCCATCGTTTTTGTTGTAAAGTGGGTGATCATGATTCATCACTATTGAGCCTGGGGCTTTTTTCCTTTGCAAAGCGACATCATAACGTGTCCTGCAACTTGGAAATCAATCCTTTCAGTTTCATTGGAGTGATACAACAGTTGATGATGTAAATAGTTCCTTACTAATTTCTAGTAAAGGACCACATATGTAAAATGTATAACACATCCAATTTTGGATTTCCTACAATTAGAAAAAGTAATCAAATTCAATACGGAAATTGTATCCAATGAATGCTTGATGTCCCGTTAAACCTCATCAGCCGTTCTTTACAGGCTGCAAAACCAAACCTAGTTCAAATGCAATTCATTTTCATTCCAACGTCCAACTGATTTCAACAGATTCCCTATGAATGGAGAATGTGCAGCCATGGAAATATGCCGTTAAAACCGTATTGTCAACCTTAAAGCTAAAGAAAATAGGACCCCCACGTGTTCCACAAATTCCATAAACAGTGGGAACTTTAGCATGGGCAAGTAAATTAGCGGCTAAATGAAATATATGAATGCTGTGTGTTTCAGTTGAACAGCTTTGTGTTTGTTTGGAACTGGTCTCTGGCTGGTTGCACACCAATAGATGCTTTGTTAACTCAGCGCTTCCCTTCGACCCCCGAGTGCACAGAAAACAAAAACCCGTTGCACGTCCCATCAACGGACACTCACACACACACACACACACCAGCATCTGGCACAACACGCACCCACCTTTGCACACAGGGGCCCCTAGAGAATGCTGTGGAAAGGTACGCAGCCAATGAAGATGTGTGAAAGCCAAACTGTGTTGACAGGAAACAGTTGAGTCACTTGTGGGATTGCGCAAGGACACGTCTTTCCAGGCGTCGTAAGAGCACCTGTGCTATTTTGAAAGCTTTGTTTATTAAATTACACACATGTGCTAACTCCTCACCTGCGAAAAGATGACGCGATTATTGAAACTTATAAAATGCACAAGCATTATTTTTCAGGCAAAATGAGTGTTCACGTGTGTGTGTAGGTGCCTGTGTGTGTGTGTGTGTGTGTGTTCTCACCCCTCCTCGATGGTGACCCCGTGCATGATGATGGAGTTGGTGACTTTGACCTTCTCTTTCACTGTGGTGGAGTTTCCGATGGTGGACCTCTTTATGGAGGTCTTGTCGGCTACCTGGCACTGTGCTCCGATGATGCTGTCTGGCCCCATCTGTCCGCCGAGCAAAGGCGTCATCACTCAAAACGTTAATACACTCACAGGCCTCTCCAAAGATGACCGAGTGCAGACTCAAACTTTATAGTAGTGAACGGTGATATAGGACCAACAGTAGAACTGCCAATTAATAGGAAAATGCATTAAAACCAAATTATGAATGCATGAATCTGAGTTTTGAACTGTTTGATGGTAATTTGTTTCACGTACCTGACATCGCTCAGAAATGACAGCAGATGGGTGGACTGCTGGCTCCTCCAAAAGCTTTGAGGCCTAGTTGAGAGGCGACACAAGATTAAAAAACTGTCCAAATGACTTGTGAACGACCAAACAAACAAAAGTACACAGCGTTCAAACATGCATGCGATTCTCCAACAGTGTAAAAATCACATGTGCAAGAGTGAGAAGGATGAGAGATGCAGAGGGGACCGTATTATTGATCATTGCGGATCAACATAAACTTCTAGAAACTCTATTTACACCCCCCCCCCCGCCCCCCAAAAAAAGTACGAACAGTCCGATGCTCATGCACATGCAGTTTGTACCAAAGACCGCGTGTTTAACAAATGTCCGACTCACCAGTCGGTTGGCTTCTATGTAAGCAGCTAAAGTGTTGACGCGGTAGCAAAGGCCCTGGTCCATGATGTGGACGTAGCAGCGCAGCTTCCCTCCGTGGTACGCTTCGCTCATGTCGCCGCGGTGGTCGTTCCAGCAGGAGCGCTCCTGGGCCAGCTGGAGGAGAGGCTCGTCTCGTGAGCAGATGAGGAGCTCTGGACAATGAAAGAGAGGCGAGCGGAGTGTGTGTCAGGCGTTTTAATGATCTCACACACTGCTGCTGCTGCTGCTGCAATTTGCATGCGACTAGATTGGGCAGAGTTGTAATTCTATGCAAACTTCCAATGAGTTCGCTTTAATTCAGGGCGAAAGCCCAACATGTATATCCTCCATGAGAACCACAGGGATTCTAAATATGTTGCACTGGAGCGGCTGTTGAGGGGTGTTTTGGGACATGTGCGTGCAAACACTGACCAGTAGAGTTGGTGGAGCCGTCGGCCGTTTTCTGGGTCTGATCGTCAGCGTCGTCTTTGCTTTTGGGGCAGTTGGTCGTTTTTGAAAACTGCTTCCGCACCAAATACGGCAACAGCTCACCCCGGATCGAAGAGATGGACCTAAATTACAAGAAGGGGAAAGATTAAATAAGGCTTGCACGGCCTGTTAAAGTCATTGGTATTAAACATTATCCATGTAGTCCAGGATCTCGAGTTTAATGAGTGAAGAATAAGCAATTTTATACTTCTGGTGCTTTGCATCTAAACAAAGGAAAGAAGATGCATTTGCAGTGATCACCTTGCAAATATCTGATTTCTACATGTTTTCTCCATATCCCATCCTATTACTTTGCTGCCATTTGTGCCCAACATCTGATATGTAGATTATCTTTAAAGTGTGATAGTGTAATCCCGAAGACCTTTCACCAATTGCAAACAGGAAGCCAAATGCCTTTACTATTACTTTAACTATATTTTATTGGCACCGATTCAACAATTGGTTGTCGTTACTTAACGTACATCTGACTAAAAGTAGATCATGACAATGAGCACCGCGGCTTCAAAACGAGGACTTTGAGTCCCCCTCTGTGTAAACCAGGAGGCAACTTCCCCGTCCTCATTCACGGTGCTACACCCTCGGTGTTCCTCTCAACCAACCCCCCCCCTTACTTGCCCACTCTTGCTGTCTTTTAAAAGGGAGATTAGAATTTCCATCTGAATGACGGGAGAAAAACAACAGTTACTCTGTCAATTTCTCTCCTTGTGAAAGAGACAGCAAGAGAGAGAGAGTTAACAGTAAGTCAGAGAAAAGAGCCAAGAAAAAAAAAAAAAAAAAAGAGTCACCTAACAAGAGTGATGATATACGGCGGCGGCAGAGGGTCCGTTAGGGATGTAATGATGTCAGATTTATATCTACATTACTGTGGCAAATTACCGTGTTTCAGAGCACCGCCGCTGAAAATATTCAGCAAGGGTGCGTAGATGGGAGTTGGGTGATTGGTGTTTGTTGGCTTTGGATCTAGTTGGGTATAATCTCGACGTACAATCTAGACACTAAAACTGGGCAATGACAGATTTCCACCATCCAGCCATTAGCCAAGCACCCACTTTCAATGGGACCATTTCCAAAAAAGTGTTAAGACACACACACACACACACACACGGAGTCCCATCAGCACCCTGTTTTGAGAAGCTCGGCGCCTCGCTGGCCCTTCGCAGGCGGCCTTGTCTGGGACGCATCTGGATCAAGTCCAGTCGTTATCAAACTCGCTTGGTATTTTTGTCCACAAACGAATGTCATACTGATAATGTACAGAAAGATACGAGGCGTCTAGAGGGGGGGGGCCGGGGAAGAGGTGGTCAGATCCGTTCATAACGATACAACTGTTGTTGGATCTCAGTTTAAAGAGTGAAGAGTCTTTACTGTGCTTTCTTACAACGAGATAAAAAGAGCGTGCTGCATTTAGAACGAACGTATATTTTTGGCATTTTAATTGCAGAGGCTGTTATTCATGGTTTTTGTGGGGCATAAGCAGTCAATGGATGAGCTCCTCACACCCTCTGGTTACCAGGGACTGACTTCCATCTCATTTTTAGTGCTGGGAAACAATTAAAAATCAGACCGAAGGTATTTTCCACTGCCGTGGCCTTTAAGTTTGATCTAGTTTGTCATAACAAAACCAGCTACATTATTACCGGCACCCTGTGAGCAGAAGCGAGCTAACATTAATGCCTCGGTTTTCTCTGAACAGGTTTTAGGTGCAAAACATTTTGATAGTAGCTCATATCACATCGGACCATTTTGGTTTTTCTCTTACTGATTGAACCGCGCTCAGTCTCCAGCGGGGCCACGACAGGACTTTACCTCGGGGGCTAAAGGCCTAACAGCCTTCCTCAGTGGCACGTAGTAAAACAAATTAACACCTTGCTAGAATACCCCCCTGACGGGTCCTTTCAAAGCCTGACGCACCATGGAACCACGTTAAACACGTACTACAGATTTAAGCAGCCAATGGGAATGTCTGTTGGACTGTGTGGGCTCCTACCAGGCGTGTGCTTGTGTTCTCTACCAGTACTGCTCATACCACACACACACACATTTCATTTCTCCACTCTAGTCCGGAATAAGGGAAGAACTCACTTGTTGTCGGCGAGAAAGTCCACCACGGCTTTTTTCAGACAGTAAAGGTGAGCGTCCACGAGGCCCGTCTTGATGTGCATCCTGGGATGCCTGCAGGTAGAAGTCAGGAGAGGACAGTTACATCTAATTTGACTTCATTACAGATTCATCAGGTTTTGCTGCTCAGCAAAGAACTCCAGCACTAAAAAAAAGCATTGGGTCAAATTCTCAAATATAGTCGTAAATGTTCTGACTTGCACAAAATAAGTAGATGTAAAGACTCATGGCCCCCGAAACAAAAAAAGAAAAACTACTTCACGGCTACATATGCGCACACATGTCATGGACCTAAAAGGTGGTGGAGTAGCAGATTCTTCTGGACCGACTCAGTAAAAATAATTAAAACCACAACTGTTATATTTCAGTTTGGACATGGTAGTGAACTCTTTGTATATTATATATAGATATAATATATCTATAATATCCAATTTCATATTTCTTTAATACATTTGTTCAACGCAACAGCATTACTGTTTTAATGAATACTTTGTTAAGATGAGACACATTTAGGTAATAGGTCTGTGTTCACATTAACATCATCATGTTTGCCGTTTGCTCGTGAATATTTCCCTTTTTTAATCAGACATTTATAATGAAGGCTGAAAGAATACTTGCGTGCGTTTGTGCAGTCCCACCGCGCTGCATGCACGCACCAGTTTCACCACAACCATCACGGCCATGGCTGCTACTTGCTTTGATTCTTTCATTCATCGCCCTGTTTTTATGTTCCACGCTTGCTTCCCATTTACTGAAAGCCCTTCCCATGTCCCCCTGCTTCGCACGTAGGACAGGGACATTTGATGGAAAACAGACAGCCTTTGGCTCACATAAAAGTCTGAGAATAGTGACATCTGTCTACTGTCCTCCGTCAGCGACCGTGGACGTCGCCCCACAAAGCTGCAGCCTCTGGGACAGCTTTATGTTGACCGGGGAGTGGGGGGACGGGGACGGGCGACACATGCATGCAGACACAACGTCACCCAATCATGCATCCACTCATTTCACACACGGACACGCGGTGGGACCGTGTGACATTTACGAAGCGAGAGCCAAAGAAAGCCATGTCGTCCTGCGGGTTCCAAATGAACACATCCGTGCTCACCCCTTCATCCCCTCCGACTGCCCTCTTCTTCCTCCGGCCTCCTAATCATTAGGTAGTAAAACCTGCGGGGGGGGGGGCATTGTTCCTGAAAGGATTATACCAGTGCTTTTACACGTTTTAGGCCATTTACTACAACTCAGATATATGCCTTCAATTACGGCTAACCGGTCTGCGAAGCATGCTGCGTGCGCCGAGTTAGATTATTAAAGTTGTGAAAGCAGATTGATTTGAAAAGTCTGCGCCTCATTCCCAACACAACAATAACCCAACGTTGACCGAATTGAAAGCATACGATGGTTCACCGTATAAAAGTTCAGACCTTCAGCACGACAATCCTACGGTTTTATAGTGCAATCAACTAAAACTAAATATGAGATTCCGTGTTATCTCACAGGCAATCTGGGCCGGTTGTCAGCGCCCGAAAAACAAAACAACCGCCAATATTCTCTTTTCATTCAGTGTTCTGACGATAAAGATCGAAGGCGTCCCCTCAAATTTACTGGTGAGTGGAGAGTCCACGTTTTGTGATTCAGATCATTTGACTCAACCAATATCCAAATCATGCTCTGAATGGAACAAATCAAATGGTCGCGTGCACATTTATGCTTTTATGGCGTTTGTCAAATATATTTATTCAAACAGCATTGCACAGGTGTGTGTCTGCGTGAAGTGGGATTCATGGGAACGCCCAGCGTTTGACATCACTGCTAAAAAACAGGGAGTGGAATACAATGGACGTCAACAGCTGGCCTCATACGCGCCGCTTAAAAAAAACAAGTCTCATTTATATGAAAAAAAACGACCAGCAAAAACAAAGTTAAGCTTAAGGTGTTGATGCACTCGTTAAAAGTCTTGCGTGTGTTGCAGAGCAATTCCCCTCCAGAACAACAGGTGGAGTAACGTCTTTTGTTGAAGAGAGTCACGTCTTTGTGTGTGGCTGGTTTATTTATTTATCATGGACTTTATTGCCCCGTGCATCCACACTGCTGCTTTTCATCACAACTTTGTTCCCCTCGTTTGCCGAGCTCTCCCTCCATGAATCCTCATAGTCCGCCAATGACGGCTTGTATGAGTGCTCATATTTACGCAGTTCTTCCGACAATCAATCTGATTCATTCTCTAAACATTCTTCATTTTAATAATGTCGGTATTGCGCTATGAAACCGCGAGCGGCGAACAGCTGTTCGGGTAGCTGGCGGCCCTTTTCGGGGTCAATGAATTAATGTGTTCACTTGGAAAAGCAACACCGTCATATACCGCGATATCATCCAAATCTTTCTAAATACCGTGATATGGATTGTTTGCCACAGCTTGTTCGATTAGATTTCTGTTTAGATTGCTTTACTCATTACTCTCATCATCTTCCAACCGAACCTCAATTGTTTGTATCAAACAAATGGGATTTTCTTCAACTGTGGAAATTAAAAAGCACATATTCCATTTTTCAGGGTTGCGAGTCTTCTTCTAATGAAAACCGTGAGCGCGGGCCACACAGCACTTTATTAGTTTACACGTTTAGCAGCATCCAACAAACATCTTCCCAAACAAGGGTAAACATCTTGTTTTTGCAGCAACACCATGTGACTTCTGTAGACCTCGCTGTCAGGTGGAGCAGGAATTTACGGTCTCTGCAGGCAAGGATGACTCAACACTTGGATTAATGATGGACTACTAAAGTACCACTAAAGTCCTCGGTGGGAGAGAGGAGTCACATCTCTCTCTCGCTCGCTCAAACGCACGCAGCATAATGTCTTATTTAGCTGAACTAAAACCCCAGAGAGGCCAATGACTCAGACACAGCAGAACGAGCAGTTATTTCTCTCATTAGTCGGGTTCCCACTACAGAGCCAGCAGGAATGAAGAGCGTACGACTTTTTCAGGCCATGAGACTTGAGATAAAATGTGTGCGATTCCCTTCAAACCCGTGCAAGTCTAAAAGAGGCATCCGTAATTAAATATTTTAACCTGTGTTGTAGAGCGAAGAGCGCACGTGGACCTGCAGCAGTGGTGCAGTGACGCTTGATGACGGACCAGCAGTCTTGCATGTATGATCCCATTTACTATCAAATGGCACAACGTTACAGATTGGATTTGCGTTACTTTGCATCACATTTGTGGTACCGGCATGCGTTGGTCTTTTCTGTTTAATAAATGGCGAATCCTCGATCATCTCAGGCCTAATGTTTAGAGGTTGCGTTGAAGAAAGGCTGAAGAAAATGAAAACCAGACTGACACATATGCCAGCGTTGGGATTTTGGGTTTGAAGGCTGCCAAATGATTCAGAGGTTCTGACATTTAAGAAAATGAAGAAAAAAAAAAAAAAAAGACTATAACCAGCCAGCACGTTAACAAATATCCATAAAACAAATAATGCTGATGCACAACAGAACTCTTATACCAGTGTATAAATACAAGATAATAATTACTGACGTTCCCTTTATTGGCAGTGAATGTTGATGGGCCTTGTTACATTTACTAGCAGGTCAAATGAAGGGCTGCACAATCACATAGTTTACTCTGTGAAACAGTTTTTGCATTCAAACTGTAATGGAAGTTATGGAGTTTTGGAAGCTGCAGCATGCGGTATTTGGGTTGATTGGGTGGGTTTTAGCCCGTCTGTCTAGTGCCATCATTGCAAACAGATGCACACAAACTCCAGGTCCAATATCTGAAAAGGTCAACGCAGCGGAGATATGCTTCTCAGAAGATGTGACGCAACCGTTGCCAACTTCCTCGTTTTGTTTGTTTTGAAAAAGGATTTGATCTTCAAAACAGAATAAATCACGAGCAACCACGTCACCGTGATCGTAAACACACATGAAGTAAAAGTATCGGTGAAGTATGGACGGGTTTTATAGGGATTGAAATTCATCAACATCAACAAATGGTTTTGCTTGAATCAAAATCCTTTTGACTTGGAAACAGCCAATGAACACACAGTGAGCTGTGATGTACGAGGAGAGTCCTTTTACACCCTTTAAGCAGTTTCCAGGTCAAACTTCATTCATCAACAGACCGTAAAGCAGAGAAGAGAAAAAAAAAAGGATAAACAACGATACCTCAGGAAGTTCTGAAATAAAATGTATACATTTCGAATCAACATGAAGTAGAGATTTGTGAAATATAAATTATAAAGGAAGGCACCTGCAGGCTCCGTCATGATGTGCAGACGGAATGAACTTCCACCCAACGGTACTGATGTGCATTACAGGAAGTGGTCAAATGGAATTTATTCTCTTGTGTATTACTCTCTGCGATAAATACTCCATGTGACGAGCTTTGTCTTCCACGGTTGTGTGACGTGTGTATAAATAATCATAGTTTGTGTAAAAGTTCCAAGCCCTTCAATGGAAGCCGTAAACGTTTAGCCGTGTGCTCATGTTTCCACTGAACAGACGAAAACGCAACGACTGTTTTCTCTCCATCAACATCCAGTTTGAGGTCGCATTACGCGTTTCTGTTCGTATAAGCTTATATAATATGAGTGTGTGTGGCTGAAAATGTCTCTGTGCAGGGAGGCATGCACACAGCTGCTCTGGCCCCCCTGCTCATTGGGCAGAATTTACAGTTGGCTCCATGAAGTATTTACGAGCCCCAAAAACACCCGCTCTCACACATACATGCATTTTAGGACTCTGCAGCGAAAACCTACCTAGTGTACTCGTCCTGTAACAAAAATCCCAGCCACCCACCACAGAGCCTTCAGCCCAGAGCGCACTTACTCCGATTAGAAACCGAGACATCAGCCTTCTAAACTTGGCGAGGGGACGTCTTTATCCAAACCCCTGATGGTTTAAGGCTCACAGAATTACCAAAGCAATATAACACTAGAGATGGATATCTCAATACCTGGACAGATTAAAAAACTATGAGGCAAGAGACAAAATGTGCTTCGGTATTCCGGAATAAGCTCTCTACAACTCTACATGCATTTTTGATGAGGACTTACTTCCTCATGATCGACTTCCTAATTGATAGGCCGTCCTCCAGATCTGCCTCGTTTGCCATGAACAGCAGCCGCTTTCCCGACTGATCCACTCCTACAAAGTCTCTCTGTTCGCCTGGGGGGAGAAATAGACAGTATTCAGTGATAACGCAAAACAAACCAGGCTTAGAGTAAGGGACACATTTCGAGATTATTTTTGCAAAGATTGGTGGAGTTTAAGAAGAAGCTTGTTTACTTCCTTAATCATTTTCAAAAGCAGGTGGTCAACTGATCTTGTGTGATTACTTTCCATTACCTGTCTTTTTCTTGCCCTTCTGGCCCGGGACGGTCTCTGTGAAGTCATGGGCTTTGCTCATTAGCATGGCCAGCGTTGCATTGTGGGCCCTGAACAGATCGACCACCTCGTGCAGCGCCACGTCCGTTATCAGGTCGCAGCTCACCACCAGGACGTCCGTCTGAGGGGGGGGGGTACAAGAGAGAGCACAGTGAGGCTGACATCCACACCGCTACATTTCCTCCACAGCGCAACACAGAGACGCGACGATGGAGCCGCAACAAAGGACCTCTCACGCGTTCCAATGGAGCCTTCCCACCTGTTGTGAATTTGCAGACATTTCCACTGTCCCCCCCGCACACAGGGACACATGTGGGAATACGGAAAATGTATAAGATACAATTTGAAGGGAGAGTCGTGTTTACAAAGTGAGGGCTCCCCCTGGTACACACGAATATGCGTGGCGACAGCGCTCCACATAAACACCTTCGGGACACGAGAGACTGGACTGAGCAGGATTATGAGAGAGACGGAGGAGAATGAAGACACCCCCTGCACTGCTTAAATACTAGCCAATCCGTTATCATTGGTTAAATGCAGCGTTTTTTCTGATATTGTGTTGCATTATACAAATCTTTGAATACGTCAGAATCATTTTCTGATCTGTACAGTAAAATCCCTGCAATGAATGCGAAAAAAAATCCAAACAATACTTGGCTGATGCTACAAATAACAAAAGGCCACAGTAACAAAGGCTTGAGCAGCAAACAGGAGACTTTTACACTATTGGAGCTACTTTTAAGTAAATGAATTACATTAGTGTATCAATACACAGCTTGTGAATTCTGTAGAAAAATTACTTTACCCTCAACGACAGGGATAAAAAAAAAGACTTGAATCCTAATAACTGGCCTCTATGGACGTTACATGTCTGCAAGGGTGTGTGCGTGTGCGTGTCTACATGTGGGTGCGCCCACATTTGTCCGTCTTTGTGCGGTATCCATCCGTCTGTCCTGTGATGAAGGCTGTCAGCATAAGAACTAATCCCACCATTAGCACCAGCCGCGGCAACGACAGAGACATCTTTACTACGTCCGTGACGGAGGGAAGAAGGAAAGGAAAGAGTGAGGAGGGGGTGCTGGGGGAATACGGAAAAAATGAATGACTGAATGAATGAAGAATCAAATAAAGATACAGTGGAACACTGTAGGTCTTCGAAATTGGACAGGAAGTACTTTGAAACTTCAACCTGCTTTAACGTCGCACTCGGCATGTGATTTAAAAGGAGTTGAAAGCGTTCAGGAAACTAGAAATCATCAAAGAATTCACCTGATTTTGCAAGAAGTGAACACCAAGGTGCAATGTGGCAGAGCTGAGCGGTCTGTGAGTGTGCGCGCGTGGGTCAGTTATTGGGTCAGTGCGTGGATCAGTGGGGTCAGGGGTCGTGGAGTTGACCAGGCGGCAACTCTCGGCGTAACCTGGCGACAGGAAGCTGCCGCGGCGAAGCTGGAGGTGTCTGCAGGAGATCTACTGACACTGGAGCTCAGAGACCTTTCAACTCTCCCTCCAACACACACACACACACACATGCAAGCCTGCACACATGTTCTGAACCAGAGCACACAAGTATGCGCTCACACACACACACACACACACACACAAGCAAGCGCCTGCACAATGCACGTACACATGCAGCCACACATACAGGCGACGGCAGAGTGGAGTCAGCTGGGGCGACAGACACACTTTGGCCTTTCAACAGCCAGAATCTCTGGACAGGTCAGGACCACACACGCGCCGCTGCACAAAAACACACACACACACTCGTCCCAGTGGTCCAAAACTATCGCTTACACAATCTCCACCCAATTTAACAATACTAGGACACTCTATATCCATATTGATTGTGTCTATTTGGTTTTGGTTGTTTATAATAACTAGTACTTTCAAATCAACACCAAGTCTTCAGCTTTGTGCAGGCGGCAGTGGATTTCTTCTTGGTTCTGGGATGGCTGACGTTACCACACGTACAGAACAGGTGTAAATAAATGAACGGCACGGAACATTTTGGAAACATCTCTTTTCCGAGACGGCAGCCAGCAACCTCGTGCAGCCGCTCTCCTCGTTCCACGTCCTTGGCAAATATTAAAAGCAGTGCATTTGCACCAGCGTCTGATCCTTTGTGTCGAGCGGGCCGCTTTTAACATGAACCTCGTCTCTCGCTCGCCTTTCTCTCCTCACCTTTTGTCCTGGTCGGTCTTACCCGCTGACTAACACATGTCGACCGAAGGTGAGCCTTTGAATGCGGAGCACCAATGTATACATGCTTCCTTTAGCCTGCGCACACTCGATCGCTGCCAGGTGATTGAGCCTGAACGATAATACAAATGTCAAAGAGGCTTTGAGCAGACAAAGCAGAAAGTGCACGCCAAGTACTCCTTTCACTGCTCGGGCTTATTGCGAAAGACCTAAAAGTAATAATCTGGCACATCCCTCAACTTTGTGTGTAACCTTGCAGTTTGAAGAGGGAACAAAATAAAATACGCCGTTTGTAATCCCCCTTTTCAATAACGGAGAGGAATGACGTCCCGCGCTCCCCCACAGCGATTCCTGTAAGTATTTCGTTTGATGGGTTACACCAAATCCCCTCACGGGAGTGTGTCAGCGTGAAGAGATGAGTGACTGTGTGTGTCATTACTGTACTCATGCACCGGTTTGACAGTTTGAGTGATCTCCGTGCTGGGATTTGGCAAGCCGTGGTTACAGTTCCTCACTCATCGCCCTGCAGTGTGCGAGTGTGTGTAACTCAATGCCTCTAATCGAGCCCACTGCTCAACGGATTAGGGACCTGACTGTCCTCCATGAGAGCATGCTGCAGCTAGTCCTGTTTAAGTGTGTGTGCGCGTGTGTGTGCGGTTAGACTATCCATGCACCTCTCTGACAACCCTTGGGCAAGCGGAATAATAAATATCTGTACAGACTCATTCGAATGCCAGAGGAAAAAAAAAAAAAAAAAAAGATTAAAGTCACTTGTCACAACAAATTTGGCATTTTAAGTGTTTGATAAATTCTTTTCCATTTTGCTGGGAAGACTGAAATGAGACGCTTGCTGCCTTCAAGTGTCGCCTAACGTGTCACGCTTCAGTCAGAATCAGGAAACATATTTCAGAGTTTGTAGACTTTTATTAGTTTTTTTTGTGGTTGTCGTCGTTTTTGGGATCTTTCTGCAGAGAACTGTTTTAAATGACCCAAGTGAATAATTAGGGCCGGTTGTTTTAACGGGTTATGAATGCGTGAACGCCAACAATGATTTTATTGTGCGATAACAGCATTTCTTTTCTTTTTTATTGCATTAGGAATTAGAACACCGTTGCGCACATTATCCGAGAAAATGCTCTTTTAAAAGAACATTTTCATCTTAAAGCGACCAGACGGCGTAGTCGATAAAAGCAAAGCTATTTGTAACCCCTGCAAACCAGAAGCATCTTATCACTAAAAGCATGAAGTACTTCTAGTCCGAAGTACTACGAGCGTGAAGTACCACTTACACAGCGCAGATGCAGCCCACTAGCTACCCGAGCAACCAGTGGAGGAAGACATACGCAGACTACGTTGGATGCGGCGCGCGTCCGGGAGAATTGTTGACGAACCAACGCAAGAAGAATGAAGCGCCCTTAGAATGGCGCCGAATGAGGCGCGTACGAGCCCCCCCCCCCCAAACACGCAGGGCCGTGAGGAGAAGACACGAGTTGTATGACAGCGTTACAAGGAGCACCGACTGCTCTCACTGTCGACACGCCGGCTCTCGTGGCCGTCTGAAGTACAACATCTGTTCCCTGTGAAAGGTGGAGAGGTTCTTCATCATCCGAAAACGTAAATGACTTGCGTTTCTTAGCAACTGGCCTGGTGCAGAGGAGTCAGAAAATGTGCATCACCTAAAGTCTTTTTTTCTTCTTTCCTTCAAAAGGAAATACAGTGTTTACGGACTGAAGTCATTTTTTTTGTGTTGGACCAATGAAAGTGACTAACAGGGACCCTTCCTACTGAACACATGCTGCATTACGCTGTTCCCTGATAAAAGACTAATGTTTCTTCTGTTACCTGTTCTATAAAAAAATAAAATAAAATCTATATACTGTTAACTCGCTGTTGCTTTGAGAGTGCCTGTTATATTGTTCTGACAACACTTTAAAATAAAAGCGTGCAATACACTCGTTTTTAATGGATTATTGAATTTTGCTGTTAATCACAAAACAATAATGTGATTAATCAAGTTCCATTTTTTTCATCTTTGCCCAACTCTAATAACAGTACAACATGCTATTGCCCGCTTTCTTTGTCATTGTTTTAGAGAGAATTGGAAACTCGGTCTATATTATTAAGCCTTCGTGGTCTAGTGCACATTGCACTGCGTGTAAGAGTCTGAAAGTACCCATAAAAGCTCGCCTATTGAGTGAGTCATTTCAAGCTCCTTTCCGATGAGATTATCCAATAGAGAAAGCATCCAAAAAGGTGCACTTTATTGAAGACTGCGCAGGTTGAATTCATTTTTCATTCTAAAAGAGCATCACCGCCGTTGAGGGTAGATTTTATTGGCCCCCTTTTTATTTCCTCAACATTTAGTACAGCGTTCTGTAACCTCAACGATAGTCAACCGATACTAAACGAGGGCAATTGCTTTAAAAATCCGTCAACACAAAACCTCATACAAAGCAAAGACATCTTTGTGGTCTCGGGCGAGGGGGGGTCAGTCAGAACCATGGCATATAAAGAGCGATGCCATTTAGCCCAAAAAACCCAAACACAACTGCTGCACAGATGTGCATGACTACAGGATGTGCGCTGGGTAAACTGGCAGCACGGCGAGCTTGAGTCTTAACCATGACCTCATCTGCTTAGAGAGACTTGGATGAAGGATCAACGGGCCGGATACAGAGAGGGGGGGTCTGGAAAACGGGGTTGAGGAGGAGGGTGAGGGACGGGGGCGGGGGGGTCACGGATGCCATGTCGGCATGTGTAAACGCGTGTGTCCGTCCATGTTTGTGTGTATTTAAAAAAAAAAAAAAGGTGAAATGAGGCACCTTAGCAGCCTTGACCGGTCGGGGGAGGGAGAGGCACGGATCAGCGGTCACCCAGCAGCACGCACAACGCCCACCTAAACCTCCCCCACATGCTTTGGCATTCTCCCCCCCCAAACTTCCCGCTCACATTTCTTCTTTTTTTTTGAGGGGGCCGACATTGCAGAAGAAAACCGGCTAACAAAACAACGGCATTGTTGAGTGTGTAATAAAAGTGTTGGCTCTTCCCTTCCACCACACAATGCCGCATTACTCACTCGTTGCCCATTATTAACAACCTACGCCGTTTTTTCTGATCAAATTAAGATCGGAATGAGTAAACAACATATAATGAACTGCCATCTCCGTTGTCATTCATTCAAAATAGTCTGTTTTATTTTACCGCATTTCAACAAACACAACATGAATTTGTTGAAATGGGGAAATTCATCAGGACAAGTGGGGCAAACAAGATGTTTGTCATTTTCATCCCGAACATTAGCTGAATAAAAAGAAAAAAGTACTGATTTTGAATTTGAAAAATGTCACCGATCTGTAACGTGAGGGGAAGAAATAAACTTTGAAAGACTAGTAAAGAGAGCTACGGTGCTACACTCTGTAGCGGTTATTGTCTATGTACACAGAGATACACACACCTTGATTTTCTGCTGGATGTGTCGGAGAGCGTCTGCAGTGCCCATGTCTCCGTCTTCCTGGATGCAAACCACATCCAGTTTCATCTTCACATCCTTCATCTTCGGGTCCGTGCTCATCATCTTTTGGACCTCTTTGGTGGTGATTACTATCACCTCTGGAAGCACAGGTCACAGTCTGTGTTACGCCTCAGTAGATAACCGCACAGCGCTACATGGTTGTTCCTCTTGCTTATAAACTTTGCATCATCCCACTTGAGCTGATCTTTTTCTCACTGAATATATATTTAGCTTTAAAGTACACATCTTCAGAAAAGGGTTAAGACCACTTCTCCCTTGTATTAATACATTTGGTGGTAACATGAATGGATTTGGAACATTGCAGATTCTGTGTGGTTTAATGTGCATTTTCTGTAACTGCTTTCGACCGGGCATTTCTGCACTTTAGCTGTGTCAGCCTAGTAAAAACCGATTCGCAGGGCTTTGGCTCGCGGGCTGCACACAGTAAACAGCCGGCCACACAGGACGATTATGTATAGAAAGCTAGTTTTATTTAGGGTAGCGAGGACCAACAGGCTTTTATAACAAACAGCCCTGTTTACTGGCAAGAACAGCATACTGCACCAAATCCCTTTATAAGCTCAGAGTTTCAGGACCTACAGCATGATGCAGCACAAGGGGCAAACAAACGGAGACAGGAAATGCCCACCTGACACCGGCTGATGATGTGATGACAAGCTGGTTAAATTATGACTGGAAAAAGCAGCAGCGTGGCAAACTTGTTTAATGGCCAGGGAAGTTCTTTTTTATGAAGTGTTTGACTTCAGTATCTTTTAACCCATTTTGTGATCTCATAATTTACAGTCCAAATGTTGAAGCAGAACATCAATCACAACAGATCAGTTATAGGCTGTAGCATTACATTTTGTTGTTCCTTCTTTGCTCTCGAACTTTAATAGCTATAATAAACGTGCAACATTTGCTAATCATTTAAATATTTAAAGAGGGGCAGCCGTTTTTACTCGGTGTTTTAAACCCGTAATTTGACCTATAAAATAGTTAAGAATCAGGAGCATGTATATCGGTGTTTCCCCAGCTTTGTTTCATTGTGTGCAGAGGCACGCTCCGTCTGCTGCTGCGCCCCCACGTATAACGGTAGGGAAAGCAGTGTATTTAATGAATCAAACAACATGAGTGATACTGTATGTAGACGTTATTTTTAGAAATGTAATGAAAACAAACTTGCTGAAGTTTGTTTTTGCTAAAATAAGGGTTTCACATGTTTTGTTCCTCGTATGTGGTTCAACCAAGTCGATCAAACGTCGTATTCGCCAGCTCAAATTATCCCGATGATTGATGTCAGGCTATCTCAGTTCCTCAAAGGCTGATCCTCGCTCAAACAATTAATTAGGTTAATTCTAACCAGACGTCAATCATCAGTATATCAGGATAATTGCACGCGCGTCCTACTTCAAAAAAGAAGGAAGCGTCTATCACCGAAACCATAATTCTGGCATGCAGCGGTTTTCCCGATGTTCTCTGCATCGTCGACGCTCTACAAAAACGTAAAGTCTGTGAGACAGTCAATGCAACGTGTGGTGTTCACAATGTCTGGCTCGACAAGGTCTCGTTGTAAATAAATGAGTAACTTGGGCCGGTGTAGCAGTGATCGGGATATTAGAGGAAGTTGCTTTGGTAGAAGACGTGTTACCAACCCTCACCTTCAAAGCCCACCCTCTCCAGCAGGTTCAGCGGGTGCCACATGAGGGGCTTGTTGCCAACAGGCAGCATTGGCTTGGGAGTGTTGTACGTAAGATCTGGCATGCGAGAACCTCCACCAGCCGCCATCAGCACCGCCTGGAGCTCCATGATGTTTGCTGGGGATGGCTAAGAGCAGGCAAACGGATGGATTAACAGCCATACTTGTGTAAACTGTGATCAATATGTCAATCAATAATCACCAATTGCCCCTGGGAAACTTTTGATGGGGCAACTTTCTTGGTGACTTGGCGCTAAAGCTAAATTGCGATGGCACACTCAATGTGTTCTTTCTTTTTTCTCTACATTCACAATCAAAATACAAACATATGTGAGGCAATTTATTTATTTCATTATTTAATAATGCGATCGTATTTAGGACACAGTCATAACACATTTTGATACACTACTACAACAAACTGTTCACGGCATGTTGTACTGTGCAAGTACATGTTTTGCATCACAGGGCAATCGGTTTTCATCACAGCACCGACGGGGCGCACTTATCTACATACAACTAGCGGGACACTGGCAGCGTATTGTCAACGCATACTTCCATGTGTATCTACTAAAGGGCATTAACAAAGACTCGCTCGGGGGTCGAAAGGGATTGAGTCTAAATGTAACGTTACCTGTCAACGCTCCTTTCTGATCAGCGGCCGCTTGAGATGACAGCCGAGGTGAGACGCACGGAAAGTTGGCTGTTCCCACTGTTGTTAGCGCTTAGCTAACGATTAGCACAGGGCAGCAAACGATAACGATGCTGCCGCGACCGCTAACGAGCAGCTGGACACGTGCTTAGAGCAGCAAACCCTCCCTCGGATAAGCGTCGGTGGACGGCGAGTTAAACTAATCGTTCAGGTTTGAGGCAGAACTCACGTAACATGAGCTAGCAGCTAGCATCGCATGATGACACTTAGGTGGTTTCAGTGAAATGCGTCCGTGTAGAAAACTAGTTCCTCCGTGAGGTGGTTCCCGCATATTATAATAGCGACTTACTATTCGGCAGCAGGGAACATTTCTTTTTTATTAGTGTTAGTTAGTTCTAAGTTATTTAGTTATGTGAATAAATATATATATATATATATAATACTTTTCTAGTGAACGTAAATGTGAACGTAAAATGCATTTTAGCATCAAAAGAATATGTATATAGATGGTGTTTCATCCGTGTAGCTTCTATTCACTTCCTTCCTTCACTACCCAAGAAGGTAACCATAACCACAACAAATACAACAGGAGTACTACTACTATGATTAATAATGATAATTATATTCATAATAGTAGAAAAGATGTGTTGACTCAAGATAGTTATTGAAAACTTTTAGGCAAAGATCGCTTTTATTCATCTTGTATACATTTTGATTAATCACGTTTGATTGAGCAGTTGTTGCAGCTGAATGAATACTATTAAAAGCCTTAAACACACATTCATTTGTCCTCTTGCCAATATTGTACAATCTATTCCTTAAGTACAGAACAGAGTGGTGTGAGCCGATTAGCGGCCAGAAGCCACCCGGCTCCCCCAGACTTCAAGCTTGCTCTGTGAATCGCTCCCAATTCACAGAGCTGAGACGTAACAGCGAATTGAGTCCGGGGAATGTGGCTTAGGTTTTGTTTGCTCTGGCCAGGAGATGAGCTTGACTGCTCGTTGGTGCTTGCGCAAAAGACAGAAGAACGAGTGAAAGAAAGTAGAAAGAAATAAAGAGAGGAGTCAAACAAGCAGCTCAGTCAGAATGCCAGAATAATTAAATTAAATAATAGAGGAAGGCTATTAAGCCGAGAGTGTTAAAATGTTGGAGAAAGAACAGAAAATAGAGTAAAAAAGGTTGTAAAAGACAGGTTCTTGGAAAAGGGCGTCTCTAAGTAATGAAAAGGAAGGAGTCAGAGGTGAGACAGGCCGGGGAAGGAGGGAAACAGCTGGGCGAGGAGTGATGAAAGGACAAGGAAAAAAGAAAGAAGTGTTTTCATTGTAAGATGTCAGTGGAAAGGTTTTGTGCTCATACTTCCCTCAGATTTAAGTCTTCCTTATTGCTAGTTAAGTAATACATTGATTAGACATGCTCAGCTTGAGTTCTTTTAGGAGAGAAGGCCTACTCACAAGTCAATGTGTCTTAATGGGCGTGCAGATATCTCTTTACCTGCAGTGCTGTCAGGGTGCAGGTGGATCCCTCTCTCTGTACAAAAACGGGATCTGTGACGCTCCAATAAATGTCAACCTAAAACCAACTAACACTCCCGGAGATTACTGCTTGTCAGGTTTACCTCCAAGAGCTGACGTGTGCAGGACATTCCACATAACGTAACTGGAGAACTGGGCCACAGTCTACCGGTGTCACAGAAAGCTCACATGCGAAGACGCAAACCCGTCTGCGAAAGATGCAAAAAGGTATTTTTTTTATTTTTACGAGAAAGAAAAGGCCACTGCAGAACATGCTTGGTGTTATCCTCTTTATGACGTCATATCATGCACGTGGCATGTTCACTATAAGAAGAGAATTGATCGTAATAAAGATTTTTTTTTCACGCTTTTCTGTAGGAAATTGAGACGAAAAAATTAAAAGTTGACATAGAGGGTGAGAGCCTTCCAAGGCAATTGACAATCCACTGAGCCGGTGTGTTTTGCATATCATCAAAGCGCAGCTAATGTCTCAATTGAAGACATCCGTCTCAGCAATGAGTGTTGGGGGGAGGAAGGGGTTGGGGGGGGGCCCGAATACAGACAGAAACACAGAAAGCCACATCTCTGGGATGGAAACAGATGGAGAAAAGCGCGAGAGCAGACGCAGAGACAAGTGTGCAGGTCTCATCAGAGAGTGACTTGAAATGGAGCCCTGAGATCGCCTCCACCCTCCTTGGCCCCCGCTGCAGCGTCTCCTAAATCATTCTCAATTCACTGAAACAAGCCAGTTGGATTAGCTTGGTTTAGATCATAAACAGTTGCAGCACAGACCACCCAGGGAGGGAGAGAGCACGGCCAAGGCGAGAGTCTGCGTGTGTGTGTGTGTGTGTGTGTGTGTGTCTTTGTGAGTGTGCGAAGCCTCTCTTTGAGTTTAGAGGTGGGCAGTGCAGATCACACACACTCAAATCTGGTCTTGCACATTCGCATCTGCACACACACACACACACACACACACACACACATACACAATTACTTGAACTGTGGTTTGTGTTTGCGCCACTTCCAGGACCAGTGCACTGTGGGGCCTTCACCGCTGCCGTGGAAACAAAAACAGGCCGCTCGAACCCAAAGTCAGAGATGGACACACACGAGTCACAGATGAAGATGTCTCACTGCACCGCTGCTTAACAATGCTAAACATAATTAGTTTGTCCTGGTTCATGTGAATGCTTGTTAATACAGGGAATGTATTTATTGACAAAGTACAGGTCGCTGTCTTATCGGAACAAAAGCCCCAAAACCGAACGGATTGTTCGACGTCACTTCTCGAAACCAGCTGCAAAGTGTTAAGTGTCATCGACCCAAACAACTGTGATGCAAAGCATGTTTTTCAAGGGCTTTCACAAATAAATGCTTTATTCCCCTTCCAACACTTTGACAGTCTGCGTCACCAGACCTTGAAATTCATTATTTTTTAGATTTGAGCACAGTTGGAGTAATTCCTCTTTGTTTCTCTGACGGGCCGGGCGGGTGTCAGAACCAGGAAATATCTGGGCTGGGTTTTGAAAAGTCAGAGAGGCAAAAGCTGGGCAACTCCCTGCCGCAAAGCAGCCGGCTTGTCCGTCTGACCTCGTGTGTGTTTGACTTCCTCCGGGTTCGCTTGTGCTCGTTGCCAGTTTGTTACCTGTCTGTATTCCATTCACTCAAATATCATACCATTGTTTTCTCGAGAAAGAATTGAGAGTCGCCTTGTGTTCTAGGACAGTACATTCGTATAATCCAAAGGCGCGAAGTAAAGGTGAGTGTAGGCTCTGGTGCAAGAGAGTGGTGTTAAAAAAAACAACATCTCACCCCATTCATTGCATAAATAGCTGTGAATGTTATACTCAGGTATGTGTATATAAACAGTATGACATATGGCAGGTTGTTATATGCTTAATGCAGATGTAAGTGTGGTTGCTTTACTCATATATTTCACAATGGGTAAAGTTTATAGTAGGGAAAGACAAATAGACACAGAATGAGGAACACAATACAATTTAGGATATGAGAAATAAAGAAAAGAAAAGATACAAGTAGAAGAAAGGAATCCCATCCCACGGACAAACATTTCCAACAGCGTCCCCGTCTCTGTCTGTCTCTCTCTGTCTGTGTGTGTGTGTGTGTGTGTGCGTGTGCATGTTTGCCCCGTGTGGTTGAGGGACCTCCCAGTCGGTGGACAGTCTGTAAGAAGGAACGTGACCACAGACAGACACAGACAGACCACGAGACGGGCTTTGTGTGTGTCAACAGTTAATCACAGTTAACGGTCACATTAAACCTGTCTTTGATTCGGGGAAAGCACGTTTCTATGCTTTATTCTAATTAAAAGGAATGACCTGGGATATTATCTCACCTGCTGTCATTCACAATCTGATGTGACACATGGAGGTTATATTGTTCATGGAAGCTTTTCCTCAGTGGATTTATCAGATAAATACGACCCCCAAATATTTGGCCATCTTTGATCTCTTTCTATCTGATGGCCTACATGTGTATTTACACTTTCCTATATACACACACACACAAACACACACACATAGACACGCATGCCCGTGACAAAATCACGAAATCTTCCTTTCATCCGAAATAAATGTTTATGACATTCCAAACATTTTGTGTGAGAGGCAGTATGTGTGGTCCTGTCTGCACCTAGAATGAGGTTTGAGGTTAAGGTGTTTGTCTGCTGGCGTGTGCGTGTGCGTGTATGCCAGTGATGTCTGAGTGTAAGGAGGGGGGTTGAATTGAAAGACAGAGAGAGAGAGAGAGAGAGGAACACCCATGCTTCTAAATTGTTTGGGAAAACAGAGAAAGACAGACATAGAGAAATGAGAAAAAAAGGGAAATTTATATGATCCAAGCTGTTTGGGAACGCCGACAACAGAGTGCTGAGCAAAGTAAAGCAGCAGAGAGAAAAGCACATGTTCTACTGTGGTATTTTCTCAGATATGATAACATGTTTATTTGTGTAATCCACTCGCTGGTTAATAAAGCCAGAAACGATGTGCCTTGTCCCTGAACTGATTGGCCTACAGATGCTGTATTGTGATGAAGCGTATTGGATCTAAGCTCTCTGACTGGCAGGTCATTGAAAGCACCACTGACTTTTCACATGAAGTCAAGTGTAATTAGTACACCGCTGCCGACATCTGTTTCTGTCACACTCATTTGGGATTAACGGAATCAGTGAAACGTGAGCTTGAGCCTTATTGTTAAGATTAAAAATTGCTTTGAAAAATTCTGAGCTCACAGTTATTATGCACTTGTCACGCGGCCTTTGACCTCATCGCATGTCTTCATGGGCAGGTGAAAGTCACTTGGTTGTTACAAAAGTGTTCAGAGCTAAATGTCTGAACGTGTCACAACTTCCAATAACAAATAAAGACTCAATGACGCGCGGCCATTCGACTATCATCCAACATGCTGAATTAAATTGAACAAATATGTTTGTCAAGCACTTCGAAGAACCAAGAGAAGTAGACACTGGCCATGTGCATCTTCTTTTTTTTCTTCTTTTCGGCTTCTTTTTCAGACTCATGTGATCAAAACCACAATAAGTCAGCACCGATTACAGCGAAGCTCCTCAGTAAACCAAAAGCACACTATGTCTTTCCAGCATTTCGCTAATCTCTGCGATATTTCCCTAAAGGCTTGTAACACCAGCAACTACAAAATACATGGAAACAGCATTTAGACTCCATTAAGCAAACAGCACACACACACGTTGTGTGGTCAAGGACACCCAAATGATGATACAAATTATAACATACTTGTACTTGTGG